ATGCCCCCGGACCCCCCTAGACTAGAGGGTGTCAGGTCCACTCCCCACTTATAAAAATAGCACTTTACCACTGCACCCCCTCTAATCTCAGATGCACCCTGAGTCATTTTGTTTAAGTACAGTGAGCCTTTCTAAAATATACAGTAAAGAGACAAACCCACCAGCATTATAGGATATATATACTATGACTTTGTGCCAAATACTTGTTGCTGATTTAGAGTACTGGCACCTTTTTTATTCCAATTCAAGCACTGACAATCACAGTTTAAAGTATCAAATGAATATGTAATGTACACAGATATTTAAGTACGTAATGTATTGAATATGGAAAGGGTGTCAGTGAGGGTCCGGGGCCCTGTTGACGAGGAGAGTTGCAGTTTCAAGACTGTTTTTGAGACTTTTAATCATTTCAACTTGTCTTTTTTATTCTCCGATAAGTCGTTTGACTCAAAGATTGGATGCAATTGCAGCTAATACTGCTAAATAAAAAACAAATTAAGTTTTCCCTCGCTCCATCAACAATACATACCCCTTCTCTTACTTTATCTATTTTTTTCTTATGTTGGGAGCATAACAGATGTCCGGAGCAAAATATTTGTAGTTCTTTGGGGTCCTCTTACAGACGACAGCACAAGTTGTTCTAATTGAAAAACAACCATTTCTAATTAAGTATGGTTTCCAAATGAAGGGGATAGACGGAAGAGAAAGAGCTCCAAATGGCTGTCATGAGGGTCTCATGTCAGAGTACACGGGTTAGGCCCCTAATCTCATTAAAACAGGGTCTGTTTTCCCCACAAACCAGATCCTAGAGTACATCATGCCTGTGTGTGCATGTGTCAGCATCCACGCCGTGCATGGTTGTGTCTTTTATTTTGTGTTTAGGTGCTTGTGTTTGCCTGGGAGAACAGGCTGAATCTCATTTACAGTCCGAGGGGTCACTTATTGACTGAATCAACCCCCCTGCCAGGGCCCAGACGGAATGGAGGCTTAACAAGATTACTGTTATATATAGCAGCGGTAATGGGAACCTCTCTGGAGATTCTGGCGCTGCTGATTTGTGCCCTGCTACTCAGATTTGAGCAGAAACGGCTAGCATTCTGCACACAGCCTCTCACCGCTGGGAAACTCCTGATGCATTACGGCTGCAACGGATCAATCAATCTGCCCACTGCCCGCTCTCCCATCCCTCCACCTGCTGCCTGCCAGGACAGTGATTCCTCAGAGGACTGTGCCTCGAGCTGTACTGTCTGCGCCTGTGTTGCCCATGCATGCCTATCCACCTCTACCAACACTTAGTGGAATTACCGGCACATTTTTCCCCGATCCTCCTGTCCATTCTGCGCATACATTCAGGGGTCTAAACCCCACCGTGCAACAGATTGCTGCTCTCCATCGCGCCCGCCAGTCACGTCAGCTTCAGGTACAGGGGTTAAGGTTTGAAAGAAGGTGGGAGAAAGGAGGTGCGTATTGGAAAATGCAGCGCCGCCACCCTTGTGATTAATGGACCTCTCTCCGCCTGTGAGTGACGAATTATCAGAAGGCTCGAAGGCTCGTTCATCACTGTCAGCCGAGGCCTGCCAGTAGTGTGGCGTCTCCAGTCCAACCAGCCAGCCGAGCTACCATCCCGGCTCTTATCGCTCACACCTGGTCCGGCAGATTCGCAGAAGAATAAAGGAGACTGGAGGAAGAGGCAAAAGGCACAAGATAGCTCAGCTAGGTTTAGTTGCGACCATCGTGGCAAGCCAAAACACAAATGGATGCCGCACTTATCCTGTGATTGACTGGATGTTTACTCCGATAAACCTTGTAGGTAAACGCCTGCAAGCAGGAACAACCATCTGCCAAAGCATTATCACATGGTTGAAGGTAATTTGCAGAAAGGAGAGTGCCGATAAGAGTCTTTGCATTCAACAATTAAATGGCAGTGGATGGATAGTGGAATTTCTTTTTGTTTTGTTTCTCAGCCCAAGGCTCTGGCCTAGCTTCTAATTATCAGGTACAGAGCGCTTAGCAACGGGGATCTTATCTTTCGCCAGGCGACAAAGACAGTGTTCCAAAGAATAAACACTAATTAATTACCACGAGTGTACTTTACTGTGAGGAGGCTTTTCCACTGGTGCCTGTTGTTACGGGCATTACAGAGATACAGATGGAGGCACAGGCTACACGAGCGCCCCATAAAATAAGCAAAACTCTCATTTCCATATTTACGGTTCGTCTCCTTCTTTCAAGTGTGTTTCCTCTTTGTGGCTCATGCACCCACTCCCACCTGGACATGGGAGGGGAGGTGAAGTAGTTGTTTTTTCAAGTGCTGTGCCATCCTGTGACACAGACAGCAGACCAAGCAGGTGATGGATGGGAAGTGGACAGCTCTCGAGAGGCAGCAGGACGGCGGGGCCCACGAGCAGCCGACGGAGACACACCTAATTCCCAGGTCTTATTTTGTCAATACACGGCAGCCAGTGGCACTCAATTAGGGGCCTTTATTGACTGTGCTGCCTGGCCTGTGTCAGATGTCAGCTTGTGACATGGCGTGATGTCCGACACTTTCCCCGAGATTACAGAAAATAAGAAAAATCTAAAGAAAATTGCAGAAGCAGAGAAAAAAATAAAGGAGGGAAAGCATAGGGAGGATTTAGCCGAGAGACAGGGGGAGATTAGAGAGATGAAACGTGCCAGGTGACGACTGAACTAGTCCTCAAAGCATTTTTCTCAATGGCTCAGGTTATTATGTCTCGTTTGGCCTGTTGAATGTTAGCCTAAGCAGAATGTAAAAAAAAATCAGATATGACAAATGTTAGCTGTAATTGGCAGGTTTCACATTGTTCCCTTTCATGTTTATTCTTGCCTCTAGACATGTCAGGATAAAATGGATATCCTCCTCCATCTCTTTCTTGAGTGAACAAATCCTTTAACCAGTGTTTGTTTTTCAGTCGTCTCTCCTTCAGTATGTTGTCTTTTGTTTTACTTCGCCACTGCATCATCTGTTCTCCCGCAGAGGCAGAAACAAACAGAAGCACCATCTTAGCCGGCTTTCCAAAGTAATTGGTTTAGAGTTACTCCTTGAAGTGGTTGCATTTTTTTGACACGGTGATCGTTGTGTGTTTATTTTTTTAGCTTATATTCACTGTCTTTTAGAATCTAAAAGAAAAAAAGATGTTCTTACCTCAAGATAAAAATACTGGTGGCATTGGAAGTGAGATCCTGTGCGTTTTGAGCAAACAAGAACACATAAACCCTGTTAGACATATGGATAAAGTTGTTTTGAAATGGTGTACGTTTCAAAAACATCTTGATGAATGAATTCCCCGTAGCTCTATCATAACTTCAACAACAATCTAATGCATTAAAGGCAATACATTTGTGTTTAGGACCAACGCATTTTGTTTTCCTCCAAATGGTTATTTTGTTATTGGTTCATCATTCCTTACATATGCAAACTATTACATTTTGCATTGATATGATAATATGGAAATACCTAAAAACATAGAAGTAGAGGAATTAGACGACTGAGCTGAGGTTTGTTTTTATTTGAGCAATACATTTATGTTGTTTGAGAAACTTACTTCCCCTAAAGAATAGACAGACAATAAGAACAGATTTGTTAATTTTGAAATACACTGTATAAAAGTCAATATATAATTGTATAAATACGTGTATACCCCCCCACTTCTATTTAATGAATGAAGAAAACTACCTACAATTACAGCAAATTATGAAATAATACCTCCCTAAATAACAGGGCCTCATCATAGTAACATTTGTGTATGATTTCAAGTATAAAAAATCATTAATCACAACGGGGGATCTTTAAGAGATAACACATGATGAGGTATCTCAAAAAGAATGGATGCAGCAGAGGCGGAGCAACTCCACTTCATCATCCCCTCCACTGAGTTCATTATTTCTTCTTTTTTTTAGCATATTGTTTATTATATTATAACTTAGTACTTTTTTCTAACTCTAACTTCATAAGTTTAGTTTTTATTGTTATTCAAAACAAACTGTAAAGCATTATTGGGGCTGCTGCTTCAGTTTGAAGACTAAAGGCTAATAAGTATTGTTCAACAGTAATTAAAGTGGAACTATGCAGGATTCCTTAGTTAAAGGATGTTGCATCATTCTTACTTATTATAAAGACTCTTGCACATACTAAAGTGAATTAATTCTCTTTAAAAAATATTGGAATATAGATAGATACTTTATTTGGAAATTGAATATAGTGTTGTGATGCATTTGACACCAGTTCCTCTCACTCCCAGGGTGTCAACTAGATGCTTCCGCAGTGGACAAGGCACCCTTGAGTTTCTTTGTGGCCACATGACTGGCCAGTGATGCTCTAAATAAACACCCCACTACAACATGCCATGATGATGCCGTGACACAGACCTTGAATAACCACATAATCTCTCACAGGTGATGTCAATCTTCTGCAGGGAACTCTGCAGGGATGTAGTTGCTTCCTGATGTAATTATGATCATTAGCACACAGCGTGAGGCTAAGCTGCACCTTCACTGACACACAACAGATGGTTGTGCTCTGAATACCAAAGCCGGGCAGTGGTCCTTCATCCCAGTAGGAGGCCCATCAACCAGCCTCGACTAGCCTGTCTTATACTGTACATGAAACAGAAATACAATAACATGCGATGACTTCACTCTTGTTCAAAAAAGCCACTACACCATTACTGGCTAATTGATTGTTAAATCTGTCGCAATATAAAAAAACGACATTGCCTTTTTAAGAGTTAGGTCAGGACTGAAACTACGTACGGAGAAAAGGTGGTGTCTGTTATGTCTGGATAGCTGTAAATCTTGTTTTTTATTTGTATTTAAAAAAGTGTTTTGTACCAAGATGAAAACACTTGCATATTACTGGCTTGCAAATGTGCAGGTGTTACATTACCCTCAAAACAAGTCAAATTCTACTTCGCCTTTTAGCTCTGTTTTGGTCCCCACCAACTCCAGAGTATATTCTACTGCTAGGTGCTTACCTTTCTTCACCATGTGCTTGGTAACCTTTTCTGCCTGCCTTTCGGTCCAGACCAAGTAGCATCGATTGTTTATTGTACTTTCTGTGCAACCAAATCAAAGAGCTAAAGGAGGCTAAACGATCCTGTAGAACATGTCTGTCCTTTTCACATTACACATCCTTTATCTGATCTATTCTTTACATCAAATATATTGATAGTGGTAGTAGCCACATTTGAATATGCTACCCTCGTGTTTGGCTAAATTACGTATTTGAGAAAGCAGTAACATAGAGGTGTGTAATGATGCAGTGGCTCGTAGTGTTAAGGTTGAACAGTTTTGGGGATTTTCTCACACCAGCGAAAGAAGATATGTAAATGAGGCGGGATTTTATAGCTGAGGATAGCTTTGTTTGATTCATTTTGCTGAGGGAAAAACGTCCTAGTCGGGCTGATGTAGTAATTACAGACTTTGGACCTTCTCTGCAAACAAAATAATGCCTAAATGCCAATATTTCATTCCCAAATATTTTCACTTCATCCAAGTTTAGACGGAACAAAGCCCTCTGGTGTTCCAAACTGTGAGCAGTCCAGGAATACAGGTTGGACTTGCATAGGGAGTAATTCTTTGAGTATTAGGCAAACAATTTAGCTGCGAGGCCTGTGCCAAAGTCACAAATGAGCATCCGCAGCAGCCCGAGTGGACACTGCCTGCCAAGCACAAGAATTATAGGGTGAGTGTGGCCAACATGTTCGAATGATTTATGATAATGAGAACGACGATAAATCTGCTGCTGTCAAATGGTGTGTCTGACCATGGCATGTCAATTTCATCTGGCTTTAGAGAAACATTGTGGGAGAGAGAGCTGTGGATAGGGGAGGGTGCAGGAATCCTCTCTCTGGCTTTCACACCTTCAACGCCCACTCGAGTATTTGTCTCCGGAGGCCTTTTATAAATAACACAACAGAATGTGACTGATGAGAAGTCGTGCCTACCTGATGTTTCCAAGACTTTTGCTCATGCTCCGATAACCCTTTGCCGGTTCCTGTCTGCCACTCACAATATGAGGAAAGGAAATGGAGAACATAAAACAGATATACCTGCACTGAACCATTTAACACTGAAGACCAAAAAGAAAAGCCTTTGTGAGCCTTTGTCAATCATTCAACTAATACAGCATTTACTGCAGGTGTCTGGTAAAATATAACTGTACTCACTATTATAAGCAGCTGTCTTATTGTCACTTTAACACAGAACAGCCAGTTTGACATGGCACTTGGGGCCAAACAGTAGCTCTAGGAAACAAATGAAGGACACGTCAGAAA